CTCCTCCTGCTGTGACGTCAGCGCATCTTGCTGCAGCTCATGCATATGAATCGAGTCGCGCCTTCGTTGCTTAGTAACCTTCCGGGAGCGCCCAGGCACGTGACTTAATTAATAGTCATAAGCTGCGCTTCCGCAACACTGAGATAACTACCGCCTGCATATTATTATTAATATATATATATATATTTTTTTATTTATTTATTTTTTTTTTTTATTGTATATGCTGAACAATTAACATTCAAGCCATAATTAAATATTACAAACAGGACAATCACATTTTATGAAAGAAAAAGGAAGAAAAATAATAATAAAAACAAGGAATACATCAATAATCACAATAGTGAGAAGGAGTTTAGTTCTTTATAGTTCTGGTTGCTTTCCGACTTGAAAGTCCTTGAAGAGTATTAAAAATAAATCCTTAAGTCAACTTTGGGAGATATTGGCCTTCCTTTCAGATCATTCACATTTGTGCATATAAAACTTATCTAATAATATTAGAATATTTAGTGTAAAAATGTGACTTATCCATATTTATCCATTTTTTAAATCAAAATTAAATATAACATCTCTTTTCCTTATATCAATTTTAGATCCACTCAACATAGTAAATAAATATTCAACATCAATCCCAAAAAAATTAATATACATACATTCCACAAAAAATAAAAATAAATAAAAATCAGAGCGATCAGCTTTGTATCTCTTGAGGAACTGGTTAGTTGGATAAAGTATATGTATAATTTTAAAGTAAATTTCACTAACTTTATTAGTGACACAGAATTTATTATAAGTCCAAATCAATTTCCAGTTGATATTCTGAAAATGGTTATTCCAGAAGTACTTATATCGAAAGGTTGCAGAGCCCGCCCACATATTAATGTATGCCTTTCAGCCAATCAGGTGCATAGTGGCCAACGTGACATTACATCATTAATATTCATGAGTTCAACCTTTGCCGTAAGATTAAAGATGTAAGGTTTACAGTTATAATCAGTGTTGGGACGGTTACTTTGGAAATGTAACAGGTTACAGAATACAAGTTATGCTATATCTAAAATGTAATAAGTAGTGTAACTATTTCAGTTACTTTGTGAAAGGAATGTAACTGATTACATTTGATTAGGCTACTTTCCTAAATTTCTAAGGTTTTCAACTGTTAATCATTTTCAAACAAAGGGTTAACAGTTACTGTCCGACTTTCAAAATCCATAGTTTAGTAGCTACGATACTGTTTTTGAAATCAAATCTTTGCATAGTTATGACAGGAAACACTGGCATCTAACAGTGGCTTGAAAGAAACAGCTTATCTTAAAAAATAAAGCATATACATAAACCCAACTAAAACACTTGTGTCCTAAACAACTGTGTCCTAAACTCCTGAAACATCGGTGTCTCATATTTTAGAGCAGTCACTGCAATTTATGAAAAACATTTAAATCTGTACGCCGGTGTGTGTGGAAAAAAAACACAATAACCCCCTTTGTAATCGTTAACATTTTCATAAGTAATTGTAATTTAATTACACATTTTTTTCTCAGTAACTAATTACAATTATATTTATATTGTAATGAAATTACGTAATTTATTTAGGCTACATGTACCTAGCTAGCTACTTCCCAAAACTGGTTATAGCCTACTCATCAATAGGTCACTTAGTTTGATGTAAACAATGCATAGACCTATTTCAGTCTGTTTGAGGAGTGATTCGCTAAAAATGCCACAAGAGGGCAGAAGTCTACCGAATATTGATGATAATGCCAAAAAGACTGCACATTAATTATATTATACCAGACTACAAATCCTTAAAAGGTAGGCTACTTTGATTCTACGCATTCACGTAACCTATGCTTGTCGTACTGTATAAGTCTACTTACGTCGCTGTTCACCATGTTAACGTGTTTTACTCCACAGAAATCCCTGATCCAACATTTGCGTATCACTCAGCAAATATTGATTAATCCTCATCTGTTGACCAATTAAATACCGGATTTTCTGCCGTAGTCAGAAGGGTGTGCTGATAACACTGAGATAGTAGGATTTCGCTTCATTGCTTAGAGGCTGTAAACACAGATAAACACGAAGGTGAAAAGTTGAACATTTGGAAGAGTAAAGATGTCAAGGTAAGGCCACGGCAGTAAAAATAAACACAAGTGTGTGAAGGTGCAGAAAAAAATACCGTGAACGCGCCACAACACAATATGAATCAGTTGCTATTTCTATAGGGACAGTATTTTCCGTTTTTAACGTGAGCATTTTATTACAATATATGAACAAGAACAACGTTGAACCAAAGCAGCTTTAATAATATGACAGTCTCTGGTTAAACAGAGATTTCCTTGATTTTGCGAACTCCATTTTGCAAACTTCAACAAGCGATGCCCGATTCGCAAATGAATCATTCCTTCGATTCGGATCTTTGCAATGATTTTTTGTTTTTGTTTTGAGATCCCAGCAAATTGTAAAAAAAAACAAAAAAAACAGACAATCATTGCACATATTAAACCGCTACATAATTCGCATTGCTTTCAAGTTTTTACTTGTAGATATCGTTTCCAAATATATTTAATGCAAATTTTTTTTTTTTCAGGCCTTTTTCAAAGAATTATATATCAAGGATCTTCAATTAATTGTTTGATCCGGTTCACACAACCAGTCTTTATTACGAATAGGATTGAAGGATTTGTTCACTAATCGGACCGAATCATTTGAGTCAACAACCGACTCACTGAACGATTCGTAATGAGCCACGGAACTTTTCAATGATTTTTTTTTTTTTTTTGAGATCCCAGCAAATTGTAAAAAAAACAAAAACAAAAAAAAACAGACAATCATTGCACATATTAAACCACTGCATAATTCGCATTGCTTTCAAGTTTTTACTTGTAGATATTGTTTCCAAATATATTTAATGCAATTTTTTTTTATTTCAGGCCTTTTTCAAAGAATTATATATCAAGGATCTTCAATTAATTGTTTGATCCGGTTCACACAACCAGTCTTTATTACGAATAGGATTGAAGGATTTGTTCACTAATCGGACCGAATCATTTGAGTCAACAACCGACTCACTGAACGATTCGTAATGAGCCAAGCCAAAGGGTTAGTTCACCCAAAAACA